GAGGAGGTAATTGAAAGGAAAGACCATGCCAAAGTTGTCAAATATATGATGAACAAAAAGCGTAGGAGTGGAGACTTCAATCAATGCTTTCTGCTCAGGGCTACTTCCCTCAATACTGAACCCTCACACCAGAATCCCAAATTATACATTAGACAGCAGAGGGCTTTGATTGTTGTGCAAACTGGCTACATATGGAAGAAAAATGCAATTCCATTAATTAAACTGGAGGATTTGTGAGTTCTCTTTGTAGGAGAAACCTATAAACAATAACTGAGCTTTTTTTAGAATCCAGCCTAAACAGCATGAAACCTGAGACTGCAGCAGCTAAATGGAGCTCAGCAATTTTCTAAATGTAATAACAGATTACAATTACAGATGGAAATCAGCAGTCTCGCAAGCAACTGTATATACACTCACCTACCACTGCCTCAGTTTTTCATGGCATAGATTAAAGGGGTCGCTGGAAACATTCCTTAGTTGCTGCAAATCTCCAGCTAAATGACAGGCACTGACCACCCCCCCAAAATTTGCTAGCTTTCCCCCCTGGCAACACTGTCTATGTTGGTACTAATTTCAATAAACTGGAGTACAAAAGAGAGGAAGACACGCTACAATCAATCAATGAAAACAGGTTTTTATGGATTAAAAAATTTATATTTGGTTTTCATATGTATGTATTTTCAGTGATATCAACTTTAATAACAGGAAATTAAGTAGGCATAGAATTATTTTCTTTCTCTCTTTTTTTGCTATATGTTTTAAGTATATTTGACAACAGCATAAGAAAACTGAAAATTCTGTTATTGCTGTGCTACCCCAATATTTTTAGTGGCCACCCCTATGAAAAAGTTCTGGAGGCGGCCCTGGTCTGTAGCTGGGAATCTCATCAATGTAGAAAAAATCATGAAGAAAAGAGGATATCTTAAGATTCTGAAAGATCTTTGAGTCAGCAAATATGGTCTAGGTCCTCACTTTGTCTTCCTACAACAAAAAAAACACAACTAGTATGTTTGGAAAAGTTGTGTTTAAAAGAAATTCTCTGTTTAACATAACTTTTTCAAAGGCAGGCGTATAATTCTGTCCTCATCTGTGCATCTTATTTTTTGCCAACTGTTTAAGATTCATTATAAGTTACATTTTTTCATATTTTAGTAACATTAATGGCAATTTAAAAATCAATCTGTTAATAAACAGCATAATATTCATGATTGTACTACAATCACGTTTTATGCCCTTCTAAAATCTATGCATCCATGGACCAATTTACCTGAATATAGTGGGTCAAAGTGATGATATTTTAGATTGTCTGTGTTATTTTCATATTTGACCGAGCATCAATGAAGTGCATGAGTACATCATTAGAAATTAGTAAACCTTAGCAATGAACATTTAAATGAGACAGTTTAAAAAGAGCAATAGTGGTTGAAACATTCAAAACCTAAACAGGTCTCTGTGTGTCTTTGCTGGGTTCACAAAGCTGGTGTACAGCCCCACTGTTTTTTAATCACCCTCCTTTACAACCACCAGTTTGCTACCACGAGACACAAAAGTAAGGTCTCTGCAAATCCAATGACAACATTTTAAACACACACAATAGGGCAAGCAAGTGTTTTAACAAATGCAAAAGAATGAGACCATAAAATGACAACATCAAGAGCACTGTTTTTGTTTATTGCACGAATCGTACTTATTTCCAACTGAACTGGTAGAACGCAATATTAGGCAGTGGTGGGAAAAAAACCTGTTCATCAAAAGCTGTAATATGTATACAAGATACCCAAATTAGCCAGTGGGAACATCTGGATAGAACTGTCTCAAATCATGGATTGATATCTAGAAAGGAAACACTGCTTTTTGTTTCTCTGGGAAGAAAAAAAGTCAATACTTGAAATGATAGCAGTTCTGTTTATAACAGAGATGTCATAAGAAGAGGAAAAAAAAAAAACAGAAAATGGTCATGTCAAGACATGTTTTTCTCTGGATTTTAAAAGTATTTTGTCCTCATATAGAATATAAACCTCTGGATCATTACCAATCAAATGTTCTGACATTTTTTTCTGAAGTCGAACAGCATTTGCTAAAGTCGTTTTTTTCTTTTTTCTTTCTTTTTTTTTTTACAGTTTTAATATATATTTATATATATACATATAAATTCAACTAACTACAGTTCTCATAGAAAATGAGAAAAGCTGGACTTTTATCGCTCTCACACAACAAATGACTGGCAAGCATATTGACTCTGCTCCTCCCCCCATCCTCATCTTTGAGCTGCTGTCAACACAGCACAGAGACAGGAGTGATGTGCTGGCTGCTAACACCCGACCTGGCTCAGGTGGAATTCATTTTTAAACCTTTTCTTTTGTTGTTGTTCTTGCCATAAGCTAGATGATACATTGGTCAGGCTTATTAAATATACTAAATGTGAAGCTAACACCATCAGGTACTTAGCATAGTTTATACAAAGGGGATGCAACCCAGGGATGTGGCTAGGCTGGGTCTGTCCAGAGATAACCAAACCAACAAATAAGCACTAAGTTATAACACTGTATGTCAATTCTTTAAGCCAAATCTCAAAGCCTAGAAAACTTCCTTTCTGGTTACTCTCCACCATCCTCAGTGACAATTAAGATTGTCATACAGCTTAAACAAACAACATAAAATGTGATAAGTGGAGAGATTCAAATGTGCTGCTATGTGGACTGAACCAGGCTAGCCATTTCTCCCTTGTTCAAGATTCATGGCAAGAAAATGAAAGTTAATGTCCAAATTTCTTTAAGGAACCACATAAACATCTGCAGCCCTTTATCACTCCCATCTCTATTGGCTCTTAGGCAGTGTTTCAACTGCAATTAATCCAGGTCGTTTCTGGCTCTTTAAAATGACAAATTCCCCAACAGAGCCCCAAATCAGTCCGTAATCCTACACATATGCTGAACACCTTCTACCTCTCAATTTCTGTGATCACTGAGAGGCGAACTAAATAGAGACTGAGGGAGGAAGAGGAAGAAAGAGGTGAGGAAAGGCTGGTCAAAACAAAGGAAACCACCTCTTCTCAAGTCATGAAACACTTAAGTGCAAAACACCCCCGTCTCAGAAAAAAAAAAAAAAACAAACATAAAAAAAAACCTAAACTGGATTTTCCTATCACACACTCAGTGCACATTTTGTCTGTGTCTCAAACTAAAGCATCCCTGATTCAAAGTGCACTCAGTAGTGATGGGGGCAGATGATGGAAGGAGGAGAGGAGGGAGTGGCTGAGGGCAGCATGTAGGATAATGCAGCACGTAGAGAGTTAGTACTTCTCTGGGAGCAAACAAGTGATAGATGCAATCAGCTGTTTGAGCTAACAGCCTAAGAATCAGTATGATACTGGGAGCGGGGGCCGCTGGGCTCTCCCTCAAAGTTCAAATTTTAAAGGAAGTCACATTTAGGGGATGGCTTGAGTGTATAAACCCCTCCTCAACACAGAAAGGTCAAAAGCAAGAGGTGTGTTACTAAGAGAAATGGGATTGTGTGCTGGTGATGTATAGCTTACTACAGGTTGCCTAAAGCTGGAGGTACATGTTGCCATATACACACAGTACATCATTCTGGGCCTAGACAGAGCATTTAATTGATGTATGGACAGCCAAGGACCTCCAAATGGTTCATATGGGTGTAAAAGCAGTTACTAACCTCACCTCTTTGAAAAATTCTCAAAAAAACAAAACTAGAAAAGGATTCTGGAAGTGTGTCTGTAGTTGCCATATGCACACTCGTAAGTGCTGAGAAACCTGGCGCTAAGCATCTCTGTCACTATCACTCTGCTTCAAC